GCCGCTCTGCGCCATCCACCCGGAGGCCGGCGCGCCACGTCTGAAGCCCGAAGCCGGGCCTGGTCGGCTCGGGTCGCGGCTGTCGGCGAGAGGCAAGGGGGGGGGGGGGGGGTGAGCTTGGTAGGTGCGGGGCCGGTGGGGGGGCGGGTCGGGGCCAAAATTTGCTGGGATGTGGATAGGGCAAAACGAGGGGGGGGGGGGGGGGTCCGGAAACGGGAGGGGGAGGGGGAGGCGTTTGGGAGGCGGCACCTCGGCGGGCGGCGGCCCGGTGACGCGGGCGGTGGGCGCCTCTGCCCTCTCGGACCGCCCTCGCCTGCTCACACCTCGAGGTGTGAAGAGGGGCTGCTCAGAGAGCCGCGTCTGCCCTGGTTGTCGAGCCGCCCTCGCCGCGCGTCGCCGCCGTCGTCAGAGTCGGTAGACGCAGAGGAGCGGCTGCCTAACGAGGCCAGTCCGGGAGACATGAGCGCGCCCCGTGCCGCCCACCCGGCTGCGGTGGTCTGGCGTCCGCCACCGGAGCGACGCAGCCGCTTATGCTTGCGCTCGTGCTTGCCATCCTTGCGCTCGCGCCTCTCCTTCTTGGAGCGCTTCTCCTTCTTCTCCTTCTTGCGCTTCCGCCCCGCCTCGGGGCTGGCGCCGCGGCCCGCGGCGCGGCCGGCCGCCGCCGGCTGCGGCGGCTGAACCGTGCCTGCAGGAACATGAGAGAGACGGTTCAGAGGGGGGAGCGCCGGGAGGAGGGTAATGGGCGGCGGCGGCGGCGCCCCGGATCTGCTTCATCTTGAGCGGGTTGTCGAGGATCCGCTTGAGCGCCTGATCTCGGGACGATCCCGGGTGATACTAGGGCCACCCCCGGGTGCTTTCGGGCCCTCTCCCTGTCAGGGCCCTCTCCGGCCGGCGCCTCTTGCTCCTTTGCGCGCATCATCACGAGGGGGTCGTTGTTCATCTTGTTGAACTCCTGCGGGCGAGGCGGTGCGGGGAGGGGCTCGGGGAAGGGTCCGAGAAGGGCCTCCTCTGGTCAAGTGTGTGTGTGTGCGTGTGTGTGTGTGTGTGTGTGTGTGTGTGTGTGTGTGTGTGTGGAGTGAGTGTGTGCGTGTTGCGGTTGTGTGGGCGGGCGTGTGTGTATATGTGTGTGTGGCTCGTGGCGGGGTTCCGTGCCGGTGTGTGCGGTGCGTACGGGTGCATGCGGGTGTGTGGCGTGTGTGGCGTGTGGCTGTGTCTCTGCCCACTCAGCAGAAACTGCAGGCCGGTGTGGGGGTCGGGCGTGTGGCGTGTGCGGCTCTGTGACCACGCGCTGTCTGCGGTGGCTGGGCGTGGCGCGTGCGGCTGGTTGCTGCACCTCGTTGTGCGAGCTCGAGAGGTTGTTCTGGCCGTTGAGAAAGTTGGAGCCAGGCAGGTGCTCGACCTGGACGGAGAGGGCGCGGGTGGGCGGGCGGGCGGGCGGGTGGGGACGGTGGGGCGCAGAGAGGGCGAGGGTGGGGCCGTGGCGCGAGGGGACTGGGGAGAGCGGCCGGTCCGCGGCGGTCGAGGGTTTGGCGTGAGGGGCGGGGCGGGCGGGGAAGAGAGGGACGGCGGGCGCCTTCTTGATGTCGTGGTCTTCTGGCTTGAGCTCGACGGGCTTTCCGAGCAGGTACGCGGACGCGGCCGTCTCCTGCTGCTCGTACAAAAAGTCGACGCGCTCCTTGCGCGGCGCGACGAGGCCCTGCTCCTGCTGCAGCCGGAGCAGCTCCTCTTTCTGGCGCTCCTCCTTGAGCGTGTGGGTGTACTCCTCGAGCTTCTTCTTCTCCTGCTCGAGCTTCTGCTCGGCCAGCCAGACCTTCTCGACGTTGCTCACGTTCGCCACGTGCCACGACTTTTTCGAGAGAAACGAGAGCGACATGCTGCGGGTGGCGACGACCGCGGCGGGGCTCTGGAAAAAGAAAGACTGCGTACACAAGCTTCGAAAAAATCACAGCGTGAGCGCTGTTAGAGCATCTTTTTGCAAGCCCTCGCCGCCATGGCCTCCCACCGCATCGGCGCGCGCGTCGCGGGCCTCTCGCCAGAACAGCTGTGCGCCATCATCGAGGCGCAGGCGGGTGCGAGCGACGCCGCGCTGCGCGTGGCGGACGAGCACGCCACACGGCTCGTGGAGCAGCCCGAGTGGGTGCTCTCCGAGGTCCTCCTCTCGCCGGACCTCGCCCCGCACATCCTCGCCCAGCTGCCGACCAAGGAGCACGCCATCAAGGGGACGTGCCGCGCGTGGCGCCGCGGCTGGAAGGAGACGCTGAAGACGCGCGATCGGCCGCGCCTGCTCGTGATCGGCGGCGAAGGCAGCCACGGCGAGTTTGTCAGCTCGCTGGAGCGCTACGACCCGTCTACGAATGAGTGGGAGGGGGAAGCGGAGACTATGCCGCCGATGCCGACGACACGGAGCAATGTCGGTAAGGCGGTGCTCGACGGCAAGTTCTACGCAGTGGGCGGAGCGGGAGCGCATCATCGGATTTTCAGCTCGGTGGAGCGGTACGACTTGGCGACGAAAGCATGGGAGGCGGTGGCGCCAATGTCGGCGGCTCGGGGCGGTCTTGACGTGGCGGTGCTCGAAGGCAAGCTGTACGCTGTGGGCGGGTACGGCGGCGCCGATGGCTGCCTCAGCTCGGTCGAGCGGTACGACCCGGCGCTGAACGCGTGGGATGCGGTGGCGCCAATGGCGCAGGCGCGGAACGGTCCCGGAGTGGCGGTGCTTGAAGGCAAGCTGTATGCGGTTGGAGGCTTCGAACACGCCGACGAGGGCGGGTTCAGCTCGGTGGAGCGGTACGATCCGGCGCTGAACGCGTGGGAGGCGGTGGCGCCGATGGCGTCAGCGCGGTCTCATCTCGGCATGGCGGTGCTCGACGGCAAGCTGTACGCTGTCGGCGGATACGACGTTGACAACGGCGACGACCTGAGCTCAGTCGAGCGGTACGATCCCGCGACGAACGCGTGGGAGGCGGTGGCGCCGATGGCCACGGCGCGGAACGGTCTCGGAGTGGCGGTGCTTGAAGGCAAGCTGTATGCGGTGGGCGGCTTGCAGCGCAACGGGATTTGGACGGGATTTTCCCCCTCGGTGGAGCGGTACGACCCGGCTGCGAATGCGTGGGAGGAGGTGGCGCCGATGGCGACAGCGCGAGTGGATCTCTTTGTCTCATAGGCTCTCTCTAGGTGGTCGCCCCGCAATGGCAGTGCACCAGTGCTACCCTCGCCAAGCCTCTGCGTCAAGAGCCTCAGAGAGGTCCTTAGATCGCAAATAGATAGAAAGAAAACACGGGGTGCAACGATATAAATTCTTTTTGTCGTGCGAGGGAGCTTTGTTCTAAATTCTAAATTCTTTTCCTCCCACTTGGAGCACTTGGAGATGGAGTGTTGCAGTCGGCAACCTCACATCCAGGGCCGGGGAGCTAAGAAGCGCACCCAGCGAGCCGGATGATCGGCATCGGGCTACGGGCTAGAGAGCCCTGACCCCTAGCTAGGGGGGGTGCGCATTCGCAGGGAGACTCTGGGGGGAGGCGGGGGCCCCCGGAGGCACCGTGCGCCGCGCAGCAGTGCGGAAACGGGGCTCCGGCTCCGTTAGTCTCCGTTAGCACCGACTTCCCGAATGATCACGGTTGATCAGAGGGCAGATTTGGAGAGATCTCGAGGAGTACATACAGATAGACCCTCCAACCATCAGAAACTCCAACCTGATCGGTCGTACTGACCGCCGACAGATCACTCCAGACAGCAGACAGGCCGACGTCTGCACACGGCCGGCCGGGCGAGAGGCTTGACACGATCCGACCCTGCGACCCTGACGCTGCTGCTCTAGCTATCAGACATGCGCTGCTGACTGCTGCCACAATGTGCGACCGGTGCTGACCCACTTGGCGGCCTTCCCGGTCAGTGGTGAGGCGCAGTTCAGAGCTGTCGATGGCGCGATGCCGCACTGGTCCCACATTGGTGACACGAGACCACCACGTTTGCCGGTCCAAGAGAGAGGCACCGGCGCTGTCCTGAGAAGGTGCGTGGTCCCTATTGACTGCCCATGCGCGCGAGGCTGTGTAGGCATAGCCTCGAGAGTGCCAGCAGCCAATCCGAGGCAGTTTGTGACGCGCATTGCGTCAGAAGCGTGCACGCGCTGGAAGGACACCTTCCTACTGGCCGTACGATCAGGTCGTCACTGAATGCCGAAGACTAAGGCCGCGAGCTATGCAGGCGGTCAGTTGAGCAGCATGGCACGGTCAGCAGCGCCGAAAGGATGTCGCAAGGCGTGATAGCATGGCCGCAAGCCCAGAAATTCTTCTTTTTGCGCCGCCGGCCGACACAGGCGTATTCGTTTTCGTCGTCACCTTGTGACCCCGAGCGTGATTTTTTCTTTTTTTCTCTGCGCCGCCGACCGAAATATATCAGCGCTCGCCGAAGAGGCCTTGCCTTGCTGGCGATGGCAAACGCACCGGCTCTAGATGCACTGTGCTGCTGGTGCTTGCGCAGCACACACTTGTTGTGGCGGTGGTGAATCCGTGCGTGCCCGTCGGGCTCGCTACCAGAGCGCCACGGTCCACATCAGAGCCAAAGCCCGCCGATCCGCGAGGCCTGACCCCGCGACTGCTGTGCCGACGCCGTGCAGGATCTCCGGGATAAGGGCATCGAGATTGCCAATGACGCGGTCCGCGACGACAACGCCGGCAACTATGAGGACGCCATCAACAAGTACTGCAAGGCTGCCGAGTACCTCATGACGGTTCGAGCCTCACGGGCAGTCGGGCCGACCGGGTCCACACGATCAATGATAACCGCAGTCCGCCCTGCCTCTCCCGCGCCCGATCGCACAGGCCACCAAGTACGAGAAGAACCCGGTCACCCTCAAGACGATCCGCGAGAAGAGCCTCGAGTACGTGCAGCGCGCAGAGGCGCTCAAGCAGGGTCTGGCCGGCAAGGGCGCGGGAGGGAAGAAGGCGGGCGGCGGAGGCGGCTCCAAGGAGGAGGAGGAGGAGAGCGAGGACGACGACGTCGAGCCGGAGCCGCTGACGGAGGAGCAGCTCGCCAAGGCAGAGGTGCGCGGGGCGAAGAAGAGTTGGAGTGGCGTGTGGCCAGCACCGCACACCGCACCACACACCACCACCACACGACCCACACTCGTCATCGGCACTGCTCGAGGGGCTAGGGTGGCCCGACGAAGTGGGGTCGCCTCTCTCTCCTAGCCAGCGCCCGGGCGGACGCGGAGTGCCGAGCCGCAAACCGCGGAAGCGCCCGGCGCAAGACACGCGCGCCATCGCACTCCTCCCGCCCTCTCATCCCTCCGCCGCCTCACCGCCGCCTCACCGCCGCCTCACCGCGCTGTGGCGCGCGCGCACCCCCCGGGATGCCAACACGCGAGGAGGAGGGGCGGGGCGGGTGCCCACGCACGGTTGCGATCTCCCGTTGAGGTCGGCGGACACACGCGCGCGCGGACAGACAGAGAGACAGACAGACAGACAGACAGACAGACAGACAGACAGACAGACACACACACACACACACACACACACACACACACACACACACACACACACACACACACACACACACACATGCACACGCACACGCACACGCACACGCACACGCACACGCACACACCGCTCACCCACCGGCGTGCACTGCGGTGCAGGCCGAGATGAAGGAGGAGCTCTCCAAGCTGATCGGCATGGAGTCGGTCAAGAAGCAGATGGAGCAGCTGTGAACAGCGTCTCTTCACACCTGCAGCTGTGAACAGGCATGGAGTCGGTCAAGAAGCAGATGGAGCAGCTGTGAACAGCGTCTCTTCACACCTGCATCTGTGAACAGGCATGGAGTCGGTCAAGAAGCAGATGGAGCAGCTGTGAACAGCGTCTCTTCACACCTGCAGCTGTGAACAGGCATGGAGTCGGTCAAGAAGCAGATGGAGCAGCTGTGAACAGCGTCTCTTCACACCTGCAGCTGTGAACAGGCATGGAGTCGGTCAAGAAGCAGATGGAGCAGCTGTGAACAGCGTCTCTTCACACCTGCATCTGTGAACAGGCATGGAGTCGGTCAAGAAGCAGATGGAGCAGCTGTGAACAGCGTCTCTTCACACCTGCAGCTGTGAACAGGCATGGAGTCGGTCAAGAAGCAGATGGAGCAGCTGTGAACAGCGTCTCTTCACACCTGCAGCTGTGAACAGGCATGGAGTCGGTCAAGAAGCAGATGGAGCAGCTGTGCACAGCGTCTCTTCACACCTGCAGCTGTGAACAGGCATGGAGTCGGTCAAGAAGCAGATGGAGCAGCTGTGAACAGCGTCTCTTCACACCTGCAGCTGTGAACAGGCATGGAGTCGGTCAAGAAGCAGATGGAGCAGCTCTGCAAGCAACTCTCTCTCGACATCCGCCGCCGCGCCGAAGGGCACAACACCCTCGACGCCATCCGGCACATGATGTTCACCGGCAACCCCGGTGTCGGCAAGACCACGGTGACGCGAGAGAGATAGGTAGCCCCGGTGTCGGCAAGACCACGGTGACGCGAGAGAGAGAGGTAGCCCCGGTGTCGGCAAGACCACGGTGACGCGAGAGAGAGAGGTAGCCCCGGTGTCGGCAAGACCACGGTGACGCGAGAGAGAGAGGTAGCCCCGGTGTCGGCAAGACCACGGTGACGCGAGAGAGATAGGTAGCCCCGGTGTCGGCAAGACCACGGTGACGCGAGAGAGAGAGGTAGCCCCGGTGTCGGCAAGACCACGGTGACGCGAGAGAGAGAGGTAGCCCCGGTGTCGGCAAGACCACGGTGACGCGAGAGAGAGAGGTAGCCCCGGTGTCGGCAAGACCACGGTGACGCGAGAGAGAGAGGTAGCCCCGGTGTCGGCAAGACCACGGTGACGCGAGAGAGATAGGTAGCCCCGGTGTCGGCAAGACCACGGTGACGCGAGAGAGAGAGGTAGCCCCGGTGTCGGCAAGACCACGGTGACGCGAGAGAGATAGGTAGCCCCGGTGTCGGTTAGACCACGGTGACGCGAGAGAGAGAGAGGTAGCCCCGGTGTCGGCAAGACCACGGTGACGCGAGAGAGATAGGTAGCCCCGGTGTCGGCAAGACCACGGTGACGCGAGAGAGAGAGGTAGCCCCGGTGTCGGCAAGACCACGGTGACGCGAGAGAGAGAGGTAGCCCCGGTGTCGGCAAGACCACGGTGACGCGAGAGAGAGAGGTAGCCCCGGTGTCGGCAAGACCACGGTGACGCGAGAGAGATAGGTAGCCCCGGTGTCGGCAAGACCACGGTGACGCGAGAGAGAGAGGTAGCCCCGGTGTCGGCAAGACCACGGTGACGCGAGAGAGAGAGGTAGCCCCGGTGTCGGCAAGACCACGGTGACGCGAGAGAGAGAGGTAGCCCCGGTGTCGGCAAGACCACGGTGACGCGAGAGAGAGAGAGGTAGCCCCGGTGTCGGCAAGACCACGGTGACGCGAGAGAGATAGGTAGCCCCGGTGTCGGCAAGACCACGGTGACGCGAGAGAGAGAGAGGTAGCCCCGGTGTCGGCAAGACCACGGTGACGCGAGAGAGAGAGGTAGCCCCGGTGTCGGCAAGACCACGGTGACGCGAGAGAGAGAGGTAGCCCCGGTGTCGGCAAGACCACGGTGACGCGAGAGAGAGAGGTAGCCCCGGTGTCGGCAAGACCACGGTGACGCGAGAGAGAGAGGTAGCCCCGGTGTCGGCAAGACCACGGTGACGCGAGAGAGAGAGGTAGCCCCGGTGTCGGCAAGACCACGGTGACGCGAGAGAGAGAGGTAGCCCCGGTGTCGGCAAGACCACGGTCTCGCGAGAGAGAGAGGTAGCCCCGGTGTCGGCAAGACCACGGTGACGCGAGAGAGATAGGTAGCCCCGGTGTCGGCAAGACCACGGTGACGCGAGAGAGAGAGGTAGCCCCGGTGTCGGCAAGACCACGGTGACGCGAGAGAGAGAGGTAGCCCCGGTGTCGGCAAGACCACGGTGACGCGAGAGAGAGAGGTAGCCCCGGTGTCGGCAAGACCACGGTGACGCGAGAGAGATAGGTAGCCCCGGTGTCGGCAAGACCACGGTGACGCGAGAGAGAGAGGTAGCCCCGGTGTCGGCAAGACCACGGTGACGCGAGATGAGCCCGAGATGGGCCGAGATGGGCCGAGATGAGCCGAGATAGAGCTCGAGATAAGAGCCGAGATGGGCCGAGATGGGCCGAGATGGGCCGAGATGGGCCCGAGGCCCAGGCCGCGGCTACCACCGCGCCTCATCGAGCACGAACGGAGTCCACCACGAAGGACCCCTCTCCAGGTGTCGCGGCTGGTTGCAAGGCTGTACCACCA